ATTGTCATAGAATTTTATAAAATACTCAAAAAATAATTGAAATTACTAAAAGATTTTTAAATTTTTTAAAAATTATTTAAATATAATTAAATTCTGTTAGATTTAAAATCAAAAGTTGTTGATAATACTTAAGGGGTTATACCTGTTTCGAGGCTTAAAAAAAGGATGTTTTTAAAGACTTTTTCGTGAATACAGTTTTAAATAATCGTTGGCAACTAATATACCACTTAATTAAGCAACTTTTAAATAATGAGAAAAAATTTTATTACGAATTTATTTTACAAATTGTCGGCTGTATGGTTGCATAAAAAGTGCAATGTATTTTTGCAGTCCTCCGCGGCGAGCAGTTGAAGTCCCCTGGATCGTCATCTAGAAGCACAAAAAAATTTTTTTCATAAACTACATAAGATTATCTAGTGAAGTACACATGATCATAATTTTAGAATTTTTTTTGTAGAATTGTGAGAATTATAAAAATAAATCGCATTTTTGACCCAAAAAAATCGATTTTAATTGTTTATAAAAAAAAATTCTCTTCATCAATTTTAAAAATCGTGTGTACTTCACTAGATAATTTAACTAAGAAGCTACAGTTAAATTTTTAGCTCAATCGGACAATAACTCTTCGAGTTCTACTGCTCGCCGATTTGTAAAATATGGTTTCGAGAAAAACGCGTTTGAAGTTTCACAACACTATAATTTTTAATAATCTCATGCATTTGGTTAATAAATTTTTTTTACCTTCACTCTGCTATCCCAGCACCATATAATTGTCCCTCAGTGGCCGTATTTGTCTCTTCCAGCTCCTTTCTCACTGAAGTTATGCTCCGTCGAGCATTTTTTTTCGGAAAAATTAAAATTATGCATTATGGCGCTTCCGAAATGCTCCAGAAAAAATAATTTTAACAACATTTCCAAGTTGTTTTCGTGCAAGGACGTCATTGATTATTAATCTAGGAATGTTATAGTCTATTTTAAGCAAAAAAAAAAAATCGAAAAAAAAATTTTTCAGGCAGGTATAACCCCTTAAATTTGAAAAAATATATAAAAATTGACTTATTGGAAAAAAATTTTTAATATAGAACTTACACATAAAAATTACAAAAATTTAAAATACATTTCGTTAATTGAAGAATTTTTTTTTCTCTGAAGCAGTTGATGTCCACTTCTTTCTATATTCGTCGTCAATAATGTTGACAGATTTTTTCAAATCGTTTAGTTCTTCAGAAGAAATTTGATCTACATCAATGACATTAAAAAAGATACATTAGCACATGATGCAGGAAACAATATGTAAAGATAAAATAAAACTGAATATTGAAAAATATCTTAGTAAATGAATATAAAAGTTATTTGAAACTTCTATACTTAAATGTTATAATAGCCCATGCGTCGCTAACGTTTTCACGCAAAGTATATAAGTGGGCGTGGCTTAAACTCCTGTTGCAAGAGTCTCATACCGAAAAAGCATGAGACTCCTGCAATCCTAGTAGGACTGTGTTCTATACTTTTGCCGCATGGCGCTCCTGCTTTCAGAGCATGAAGTTCTTCCTATGAGAGTATGTTCAACATATACCATTTTACTATTGATTGCTTTCATGCTGAGAACGCATGAATTCTTGCTCTAATTGTAGGAAAAATTCATGCTGGAATAGTAAGAACTACTTTCATACTATAAAAGCCAGATTTTTCTCTCCGTGTATATAAGAAAAAGTTATTTCAAAAAATACAAAAAACGATTTTTTTCAAAAAAACAAAAAAATGATTTAATCTATAGATTTCAGTAAAACATGAACTTTATATAGATTAATCGATTCGTTTTAATGCAAGAAATAAGTTTTTTCTAACACACGCACCGAAAGTACACCATTTCTTACCTGTGTAGCGGGAGAAATGTATGTCTTTTCCGACTAGCGGGAGGGAAAGTTACATTCCCTCCCGGTGACGTCACTGAGCGGGAGGAAAAGTAACTTTCCCTTCCGGTGATGGTATTATTAGTTATTAAATATTAATTAAAGTATGAGCAATAGTGAATCTCAAACGTCTGGTACACCACCAGTAGTAACTATACTGCTAGGGAGTGTTCAAAAATTACTAAAAATCAAAATTATTAAAAGAAAAAACGTTACGTAATTTTTGAACGCTCCCCTACCAGTAACAACCATACCATCATCAATAGTATCCACACTACCACGTTTGTACTTTCGGTATACGTGTGTTAGAAAAAATAGTATGTGCAACTCGTCAGGAAAATGATTTCCACTCGTGATTTCCAGTTCTCGTCTTCGCTCGCAAACCTCGAACCACGAACTGCAAACTACACTTGTGGAAATCAACCATTTTCCTCCCTAGATGCACAATATACTATTTTTACCAAACAAAATTCAATTTAAAATGCAAAAATTTTTTGAAAAAATTGAAAGAAAAATGTTGTGAACATATTTAGAAATCTTTGTGTTAGATTTTAGGTATTAATGATTACAATAAGCATACAAAATTTCAAGACAATCCGTTAAAACGTTTCTGAGATAATTTGTACACAATATTTTGTGACATACACATACACATACATCTAGACATTTGCTCAGAATTTCATATATATTAATTCTAGATAAAAATGAGTCCATATAAGCCAATTTTAAAACATCAAAAATCGTTACGAATGCAAAGCTTCCTCATGAGGAAGCAAAAAGCGCTACTTTACTTTAACGTAAATGCAGCAGAATGTTGTTGATTTCTGCATTCTGATAAAGTGTGCATCAAATTTCACTTTTCTGCACACTTTCAGGCATATTAGGCAACATAACCTTAAATTTATTTTTTAAAACAGCATATAAAATAGCATTTTTTTGCAGATGTTGTACAAAGCACTCTGCACTGTGTGCAACTCGAGCGGAAAGTAGCATTTTTCGACGAGATTGATTGCTGCTCTTGCTTCACTCGAGCATCAACTTACTTACTCGTCGGAACCCTGGCAGATTGTATGATGCGAATGCTCCACGAAATTGGCGGAGCATTCGTGGAGCATGAGATAGAAATTGAAATTTTATTTAAAATGTATAAAAATGATGAAATTGATAATATAATTATTAAAATCAATAAGTTTTATGCATTTTAAGATGATTATTGTTAAATAATTATAAAATTTTTATGTTTTTATTAATTTCAATATATTACAGTTGATTGTCAACATTTGTCGATAAAATCAATAGAGCCGCGCTTTTTAGCTGGTAAGTGGCAGCACTCTTATTTTCTTTTTTTTTAAATTTTTTATATAATTTTTTTATCAAAAGCAAAATTATTTGTTCAACGGAAATATTAGTAAAAAAATGTATTATTTTATTTAAAAAAAATTAATATTTTAATAAAAAAATATTATAGGTAAAAAAAAATTGAAAAAAATTAATTTTAAACGTAAATAATGGTGAAAAAATGTATTATTTCATCAAAAAAATTGATTTTTTAATCAAAAAAATTGGTGAAAATTTATTTTTTTTATCTAAAATATTGGTGACAAACATTTATTTTTTATCAAAAAAATATTTTATTTAAAATAATTAATATTTTCATAAAATTTTTTTTTTCATAGTGAAAAAATGTATTATTTCATCAAAAAAAATGATGTATTAATCAAAAATATTGGTAAAAAATACATTTTTTTATCAAAAATATTGATGAAAATCTAATTTTTTTATTAATAATATTTTTGAATAAAAAATTTTTTTTAAAGGAAATATTGGTGAATAAAATTATTATTTAATAAAAAATATTTTGGTGAAAAATTTAATTCTTTTTATCAAAAATATTGTTGAAAAAATTAATTTTAAACGGAATTATTGGTGAAAAATGTATTATTTAATCAAAAATATTGGTGAAAGAAATTAATTTTTTTATAAAAAAATGGTGAAATAAGATATCAATTTTAAACGGAAATATTAGTAAAAAAATTTATTTTTTGAACAAACATATTGGTGAGAAATTACTTTTTTTATCAGAAATATTGTTGGAAAAAATGAATTATTTTTTCCAAAATTTGTCTGAAAAAACATTATTTTTTAAAGAAAATATTCCTGAAAAAAAATTGTTTTATCAAAACTATTAATTTTTTTTTTTGATAAAATAATACAGTTTTTCAACAATATTTTTCATAAAAAAAATTAATTTTCACCAATTTTTTTGATGAAATAATACATTTTTTCACCATTATTTACGTTTAAAATTAATTTTTTTTAAATTTTTTTTTACCTATAATATTTTTTTATTAAAATATTAATTTTTTTAAAATAAAATAATACATTTTTTTACTAATATTTCCGTTGAACAAATAATTTTGCTTTTGATAAAAAAATTATATAAAAAATTTAAAAAAAAGAAAATAAGAGTGCTGCCACTTACCAGCTAAAAAGCGCGGCTCTATTGATTTTATCGACAAATGTTGACAATCAACTGTAATATATTGAAATTAATAAAAACATAAAAATTTTATAATTATTTAACAATAATCATCTTAAAATGCATAAAACTTATTGATTTTAATAATTATATTATCAATTTCATCATTTTTATACATTTTAAATAAAATTTCAATTTCGATCTCGTGTCAATTTCGATATTCGCATCATACAATCCACCAGGGAAAGCGGCTTCTTTCCGCTCTCGTTGCACAATGTACTATTTAATAATCATACTTTTGCTTTTTTATATGGCAAAGTTTCTCATAATAATGAAAAAAATAATAATAAATCAAATTGTTTCTCTTTGCTTATATTTGTTCAAAACTGGATTTAATTTAATATCCAAATTAAGTTTAGAAAGGAAATTCTTATTACATAGCTTTTAAACATTTTTTTTAAACTTTGTAACTTTTTAATTTTAATTTTAATATTTTTTTTCTTATTTTGTTTATTTTCTATAATTATTTACTTACTTTAGTTTATTTAAAACAAAACACTATAGTTATTTATAATAAAAAATGGATATTTGTTTTCCAAAATTTGTAGAAAGTACAGAAAACATGTTAGAAAATTACTGATAAATTTGTTGTCTTCGAATGTAAAAGAAGAGAGCAATGAGACCGATTTGGTGTTAGAAATTCGTGAATCTGATTTAAAAGATAAAAGTTGGTACTCTGATAATTCAGATGGAGAAATAGATTCTCTTTTTATGGTAGACACGATACCAAAATTAAAGGATGACTTTGATGTCCCAACTTACGGACAGGTAATTTTTTTCACTTTTATTTAATTTAAAACATTTTTAAATGGCATTAAATATTAACAATGATAGAGTTATTTTTATCACCTTTTTGTAGTATGTAAATATTAATTTATCCAAAAATGTAGAAAATTGTAATTTGGCACAACATTTTTTAACCATTGCTAAGAACAGTCTCGGGAGATTTTGTCACTACTATTTTCAATTATAATTACGCCTTTATGGAATTGTAAATAAAAGATTAATATTTCTTTACAGAAATTCAAGAAAACTTTAGAAAAACCATCAGATGAATTAAGTACATTCAAAGAGGATTGTTGTCCAAAACTCACTTGTTTCAATTGTTTGGCAAATCATAATTTGCGAGATTGTAAAGAACCACGAAATCAGAATAATATCAATAAAAATAAGAAAGAATTTGCTTCAAAACAGTCTAACAAAAATTTGAGGTATCATCAAGATCTTGATCAGAAATTTGGACACATTGTACCTGGAATTATAAGTGAAAATTTAAGAAAAGCTCTTGGCATAAAGGACAATGAATTGCCGCGACATATTTACGGGTAATAGCATCTTCTTAAGTGTAAATTTAAATATATTTTAAAATATTTAATTTACATTAAACATTTTTTAATCTTATTCAACATTTTATTATGTTTAACCCGTTGCCTGTCGCCTACGTATATATCGTCAAAACTTAAAGTGGCCAAAAGTGCTAATGACGCAATATGCGTCATAAAAAATAAACATAAAAAACTTGTTAAATATTCCTGAAATTGGTTACTCTGGGGTTTTCGGAGTCACTGATTTCGAATCAAACATTAGTTTTTCAAGATTCAAAATGGCGGATCCAATATGGCGCCCGAAAAATTAAAAATTAGTCGGATTCACTTGAAACTTGTTACTCGAGGATTTTTGGGTCCATTCTGAATATTGAAAAACTGATGTCAGATTCGTAATCAGCGACCCCGAAAACCTTAAGATACCAAGTTTCATAAAACTCCATTAAAATTTTTTTCAATACACTTTTGGCTCAAACAGTGAAACTTAATTAAAAAACTTTTAAGGAAAAAGGAACTACAATTTTCTTTAAATTTCCATTTTACTGAATTCTTGACTAGAATTTTTTCTAAAAATATTATGAATAAAAAAGATGTATTCATTTTATCAGTGAATTACATTAAAAAATAATTAAAAATGTCTAAAAATTGACAAAGTTATTGTAAAAGAAAAATAATTATTGTTTAAATTAAATGAGATATTTTCAAATACTGTTACACGGAGAAACCTTTGGGTCGTCTGCTCGCCCAGCGTAATAAAATTTTTGTTTCCCACTATGTCGGACGTTCGTTCTCGTTTTTGGTGTATAAATTTTGTGGTGGCGCTGAAGCACCGATCTACAGGCGAACTGTCGACCCAAAGGTTTCTCCGTGTATAGATCTCTGTAACTTTTTGTTTAGATAATTAAGAAAAAATATCAATTTTACTCAATTTTTTTTTGCTTCTTAATAATTATGATAGTATTTTGAGGTTTCTTGATTCTCATTTCACGAAACTTTTAGAAAATAGTATTTATTTCATGAAAGAGAAATAATATAGAGTCATGATATTCATGAGGCTAATTTTTTTTTTTTTTTTTTTGTTATAATCAAATAATAATAATTAAAGAATTTTAAAAGTATGAGGGTTCTTGGTTATCCTCCTGGATGGTTGGAAGAAGCAAGACTTCAGCATTCGGGAATAACGTTATTTAATTCTGATGGCGTCGCAGAAGACGATCCTGAAGCTGAAATGGGCGAAATATTTTTTCAAGGCGATCGTGATAAATTTGATACAGAAAAAATTATTGAATTTCCTGGTTTCAATATTCCAACGCCCAAAGGAATTCGAGACGTGAGTAACCTTTTATAAAAATGGAGTGTATTTAAAAAACAAAAGACAAAAACTTGCACCTGATAATTGTAATTTTATCGTAACAAATTGTTTAGTTTGAGGGACATTTTGTCTGAAGAACATTTTCTTTAATTAAATTTTCATTAAGTTTTTTTTTTAATAGGAAGATTCTTATTATTGGGGATCAGAGAAACAAATCGGCAGTAGCAAAAAAGCTATGTTAAATATGTTAAGTGGCAAAAAAGCTGATGTCGGTTATAAAAGAAAAAAACTCAAAAGAGCTTTAAACACTTCATCCACTTCAGATGTGATCGAAATGGAAGTTGAATGCTGTGAAGGTATGTTCTTTAATTGGTACAATATTTATAATAATTTTAAATGCATTTGCGTACAAAATCTATAAATTAAAAAGTTTCTATCGATTAATTTCTTGAAGAATAACTTTTTTAACAAAAAAAATCTTTTATATATGTAATTTTACTCGTTTTTCAGAAGTAACTGTAGTGGAAAATGTTCCAACGAGAGATTTGTTTATGCCTGCACTTCCAAAAGAAAAACCACCAATAAATCCCCCAGAACCGCCTCCACCAGGTGTCGACAGTAGTGACAATAAATCTCAAGAATCTTCTTCTGAATTAACGGTAGATTTTTTCTTCTTGGTTACTCCTTATCTTTTTTTCTTTCTTACAACATTTTTTTATTCATTTTTAATTAATTATTTGGTTTCAATTATTATTAAACTAATTAAATTATTAAATAATGTTAATAAATCAAATGTATTTACATATTTTACTCCATTTTTTTTGCTTCTTAATAATTGTGATAGTAATTTGAGGTTTCTTGATTCTCATTTCGCGTAACTTTTAGAAAATAGGGACATCAAGTATTATTATTATTATCGCTTATATAATTTTTATTTCTTTTTAAAAATTAACTTTAATAAAAATTATTATTAAAATTTCCAGTTTTCTAAATTACTTTTATTTGCAGAATGATAGTACAGCGCCGTCTTCGCCAGCAAATTCATTAGCAGCTTCGGATACAGAATCTGCAAATACACAAGTCAACACGCCAACTCCATTAAAAACTATTAAGGTCGACTTAGGAACTCCAATTTTGCAAAGCTTATCACCGTTTAGCCGTCTCCCTTCATCGGAGAAATTCTCAAAAAACATTTGCGATGTTATAAATTTTGAAAATTTACCAGATTCCACCGGCAAGTACGAGCAAATGACAGGACTTATCCAAAAAGTCAGAACTAAAATGGCTACAATACACAAAGAATGACAGCAGTAATCGTACTTTTTATTGTACTTGTAAATAAATTTCAAAAGAAGACAGAATAGTATTTTAAGTAATTTTTATATTTCTTTTAAATTTTTATTTGTCATTTTTCTTGCAATTTGAAGTTGCATTATTTTTAAAAAAAATCTGCAATCAATAAATAATATTTCTCTATGCACCTTGATTATTATTCAAGAGTTTATTTAATAAAATATTTAATTATTTTTGAAAATAATTTTTAAATTTCAGTAGGTTAAAATAGGTTAGTAGTGGTAATATTGTCAAAATCACAGAAGAAGGGAAAGATATAGAATACATTTTTGGAAAATAGATATTATATCGATTTGACTAAAAATTGTTTTAAAAAAACCTAATATTTAAATCATAAAAGTAAAAAATCCTCTTAAGTTTAAATCGAATAAAAATTACAATTATATTCCCGGTGAAATTTTAATTCTTGTTTAATATCAACACTAAAGTTAATCAGTTTAAACTAAAAGAAAATATTTTCGTTAAAAATAAAACATATTTTACTAAATATACTTTGGAATAATAATGAAGGTGCAGACAGGAATATATTGATTACAGAGTTTTTAAAAGTAATTAAGCAACCTGGTAGACTGTTATTTTTCTTTTATTATACAATTTTGTGGTTTTTCAATCTTGAAAATATCAAAAATAATATCAAAACTTTATTTTCTAATTAAAATTTTGAATTTAAATCAATAATAATAATTAAATATACATTATGTATTTAAAAATAAAAATAATTATCTTTTCAAAGTTTTATAAAATCATTTTATATAAATGAGAAAAAAGGATGAAGAAAGAAAAATTATTGACATAAGAAAACTTGAGATTTTTATTACTGAAAATATTGTGCAGGAATGTACAAAATCTTTGAGATTATTTTCATTTGTAGAAACAGATATACTTGTACTTTAAAGGTAAAAATTTAAAGTTTTATCAAATTTTCACATATTGCTCGAATTACATTAACGGATTTAAATGATACCAATTAAAATTGTATTTTTCAGTTTTATTTTCCCCTTAATGAAAACGAGACATGAAATAATTCTGCACAATAGAAGAAAATATTTTCCAAAAAGATTGTTTTCCTCAAATAAACAAATCAAATCTAGTTTTTTAAAATTCAGAGATTCTGGCGTTTTTTTATCTACATATGTGTCGAAAAAATACCTATATATTCATTACACCAAATTAAATTATATGTTACTTAAATTAATTTAAACTTTAATTAAAGAATGAAAGACCTTGGATTAAATAGTAGATTTTTTAAAAACTAAACTCTCTTAATAATAATAATAATAATTATTATTATTATTATTATTATTATTATTATTATTATCATTGAAAACAATTTTTTAAAAACTGAACTAAAATTATCCCAGCCCCAATAAAAATTTACATAAATAAAGATAATATATTAAAAATAGCATTTTTGTTTTAAAAAATTATAAATTTCTTTTTGCAAGTAAAATCCCCACTTGTGAAATAATTTTTTTTTCTTCACAAATCTTGGGGTTTTTACTGGCAATATAATATCATAATAAAATATCAATGATCAAATCGATATTTATGAAATTTTTTTTTATAAAAATCGATAATTTGATCTACAAACATCAATTTATTAAAATCATCTCTTGAATTATCCAAGTTTCTCTAAATAAATTGAAAAAATAACTTTTTTTAAATTTCGATAGTTTTATTACTGTGTGTTATTTTTTTTTTAGTTGTAGTAATTGTCATAAAAGACCCTACACAAAATGTATTAGAAATGGTTTACCGGTAATTTTTCCATTGCACAAGGGGTAATTCTCAAAGGTTTCATTTTATATACATACATTAATAATTTTTACCAAAAATTAGGGGGTAAGTTTAAACCCGAATCACAGCTAAACTACTTAATTTTTGAGCTTAACTAAATTATAACTTTACTTGGAAATAATAAATCTGAAAATATAGGAAAAATTAACAGTAGGCCATTTCCAATGTATTTTGTGAGCAATTACTGCAATTCTTTGTGATATCTAGATCACATAATTTTTAGAAAGACTAGTCCAATTAATACTGGATTTATATATTTTAAATTAAAGTAAGACAATTTCGTTTTTTAAGTAAAGTTAATAATAAGAAAAAGTCAAGAATAGCATATTTTAGTGTCGATTTCTATTAACGACTTCTAACAGTAGAAAAATGTGTAGATTTTTTCTCTATTTACAAATTCTTTAGGAACGATGAAATATATCAAATTTAAAAATTCTCATTATTAAAATATCTTTTAAAGATATGTTTTTCAACAGACATTTTTTATGCAAAATTTTATCAAATAACTAGTTATTTTTCTCTATTTCTCTCTCTCTCTCTCTCTCCCCCCCCCCTCTCTCTCTCTCTCTGTCTTCTATCATTTGGTAGAAATTTGAATTTTTCAATTTCTAGCCTCCATTGTTAGTAATACTTTTTTAAAATTCGTGTCCATTGGTGTTCCAGTCAAATGCAAATTTAATGATTGTTAGTTAAATCGTTGAGTGATTAAAACTGCAATCAAAATCCTCGCCAAATGTTATTTTTTTGGTCCTTAGTGAATTGTTGGTGGTGTTGGAGGGTCATCATTTGAACCCTAATTTTTCCATAAAAGATTTCAAAATAATTTTAGAAAGAAAGAAAGGATAAGTGAATTTAAAAAATAGTGTTTTTTATTGTTTAAGTAGAAGATATTAGAAAGCAAGTGAAGGAATAGTTAGACGGAGAGAAATAGATGGTACGGGGTACTATCTAGATAGTACCAGGTTCCATATTGGATCTTACATATACGGACAGCAATCTAGATTCTATCAGTTACAATCCAGATTGTACGGAGTAACGTCTTGATTGTAGTGGGTAACATAACCATACTTTTTGTAACATCTTTGATAGTATCGAGTAGCATAATGATAATACCGGATAACATCTACTTTTTACCATCTTACACGGAAAAAAAATTTTTTCGCCATAACAATTAAACATTTCGTCAAAAATGAACCAGCGATATTGTATTGACAAAATGGCTGATCAGAAAGATTGAACTCTAAATTCACTATAACCGAATTGGATAAACTTTCGGCTGCTGCGGTGAAACTTATTCACAGCTTTGGATGTTTCGTTCCTTTATATTAATTATATTCCCAAATAGCTCGTTCTCGTCGTAAAATTTTTTTCCGTGTAAGATCATAAATTCATACCATCTATTTCTCTCCGTGTACACATAAGAAAGAAGAAAAGGTAAAATGAAGAAATAGAATCTGAATTAAAATGATTTTAGAATTAAAAAATTTTTCAAAATAAAGGAGACTTACTGATCCACCACGAGGGACTTTCATATCATCCGGTTGCTTCCGTCTCAAAGATTTTGGCCTAAGTGCGAAGATGATCATCATTACCCCAAGCATCACAAATAACATGAAGAAATTGTCACTTGGTGTATTTGACGGTCCAGGCACTAAAATAATAAAATATACAATTTTTAATTCATATACAGAAAAAATGTATATCAAGACTTTAACATCTTTTTCTTTTACTTCTTCGAATAATTTGTTTAATAAATTTATTTCAATAATGTTCTTTGTTTTTTCCATCCTATTTGTCCTTTGTTTATTAAAATTTTTTGAAAAGTACAAAAAAATGTTTAAATAGGTAACTGAAAATAGAAATTTTTTAAGTTAATTTTTGTCCATTTATTATTTAAACATACGTACACCTTGAAACGGTGAAACATTCATTGTCAGTACAGTAACCCTGAGTTTGCCGCAACTAAAAAGAAAATTAAACAAGCCGTTATAAACTAAAAATAAAATTTTCCATTAAAATCGGAAAAGAAATTATGAATAAATGAAGAGGATAAACTCATATTATTTACATGTCATTTTTTTCTCAATTTTTATCTTTTAACTTTTAAGAAACTGATCATCGTTAATAATACATTCAATTAATGTAGTAACTAATGCTAGAATATAATTATAATTTTCAAAATTGTAATTGTAAAATATAATTTGTAAAGCGCCAATCAATTAGAAGAATAACAAAAATCAAAATTTTAATAAGATTTTATATTTTTATTATATATATATATTTTATTTTTTTGTCCATGAAATTATCAAAAACGTAACATTTCAATTCATGTATATCTTAAAAATTGTAGGTATTAACTTAAATTGTTTTCTTGGAATTTAAAAATTTTTAATATTTATTAGAAATTGTATACCTAATTTATTTATTTCTTAAATAAAGTTTAATTAATAATATTTATAATGAAATACGGATATTTCTTTTCTTTAAATAAAACATTAACGACAACGTAATACATTAAAACTTTTTTTATGTTACATTAGAATCCTAATACACGCAGATTTATAATTTATTTATATTCACTAAATTAATATTGCTACACTTTATTTAACAAAAAATATAAATAATTATTTATTATATTGTAAAATATATGAATGCCAGCCCATGAAGTTTCTGTGATTTCCTATACGATACAAATTTGTTGCTTAAAACGTAAAAAAAACAACAAACAAAAATAAATAACAAAATTAGCTTCAGTCCTAGTGAATCAATTAAGAGAACTTAGAAATTTTAGCCTAAAGTAAAGTATAATACCTAATTTTAGATTTGATTTTTAGCAAATAAATCAATTTTATAAAAATGGCAGACCAATAATTTAGACAATAATAAACTCAGTAATAATTATAATACTTATTACTGTATTTTACTAAAAATATTAATTTTTGTTGCACAGATTAGGAACATGAAGGAGCAAACCATGACGTTTCGGCACTTTAAAAGCAAAATTATTAAATTATAAATGAAAATCACTCTTGGCATTTGTTTGTAAACGTAGAAAATAGCTTTTTACATTGGATTTATGTGCAACTGATTTCTCAAAAAAACATGAGGCACATAAAATTGTTCACTATGCGGAAAAAAGAAAGAAAAAACCTGAACTCATAAACAGTTCTATCAGATAATTTGAAGTGCAACAAAAATGAGTCAATGCTAAACGACATAGAACGTGGCGCCATCTTATTGACACAATTTTTGTTGCACATCAAATTGAGTCTGAATTAAACTCATTTTGAGAATAGAAAGATACTGTACTAATTTAAAAGTGATTTACAGTTTAGTTTTGTTAATTATAGAAAAAAATGGATTAGAGAAAAACGTGATTTAAAGCTTCTGTACCCCAAATATTTCACCCCCTCTCTCACAAAAAATATTGGTCCAAATTAAAAATTAAATAAAATTTTTTTTTCACCTGGATGACTTCACCTGAAATCCTTCGAATAAATTAATAAGTAACAAAATCTAACTAAATGCAATTAATTAAATTTATTCAGTTAAATGAATAACTAATAAAGAAGAATTAAAATTCAATTTTTTAAAAAAACAAGTCAAAGAATTTGAAATTTTAAGTATTTTAATATTTTTTAATTTTTTTATTTATAGTTAAAAAAAAACTTGAAAAAAATTTAAAATTTTGGGAAAACAATTTGTTTGAATTGATATATCTTTTGAATGGACGGATAAGACAACTGTTAAAAAAGAATGTTGTAATTTCAATAACTGCTGAGTATAAGAAAAACATTGACTTGTCTCGCAATTCGTTACATAATATGAAATAATATTATTTACAAAACAATGATTTTAATAAACAATCTTTATATTTATAACTTATTGATAGCATGTTTTAGCAGAAATTTCATATCAATTTTACAAGTAAATTAAAAAATAAATTACTGTTTCATATTCAAAATTTTATCATTGTTCAACTTACAAAGGATAAAAGACGTTGCATTGCCAAATGATGATTAAACATGCATTCGCATGGATCGAAATCCTCGTTGCTCATTGTTATTGAATTTTTTCTTTCAGGAAGTAAACTGCAATAAAATTGTTTTTAACTTTAATTTAAAAAAGAATCGAAGAAACAGTCGAAACAAAACTTTTACATCTTCTCACTTTCATATTTTTATTTTTAACGCTTAATAAGAATAACATTTTTTTACGTGGAGTAAGAAACGATTTTCAAGATTATATAAATCGTTTCCTACAGTCAACAAAGTTAAATATTTTTTTTAAATATAACCTTTAATGATTCAAAATTCATTTTTATTTTTTTTTCTACGAATGTAAAAAAATTAATTTTCTCAATAATAATAACAATATAATAATAATAAATTGAAATTTTTTTTAAATAAAGAAAATATTTATCATATTTAAAATAATTTCATTTCTTTAACAATTTCAGTAGAAAAATCTTTCCATGGAATAATTTATCTATATAAATAATGACGCAATAGTCACCAAGCGAAAAGCTGATAATAGATAAATTTTTTTTTTTAATGAAAAAGGTTTTTCGAAAAATTTTTTATGCAATAATTTGTATTTATTAACGTCATTTATACCCGGAAATATAGACATACTGAAAAAATAATTAATTCACATTTAAAAAATTAAAATATTATTTTTAATAATATTCACTAAAAGAAGCAATTTTTAGAAAATTTTTAAAAATTTAATTTAAATTTTGTTTTATTTATTAAATTAAAAAAAAATTTTTTACTAATTTGTCAGAAAAAATTTTAAACTATCAAAAATTATTTATTTATATGATACAAAAATTTTCATATCACTTCCTTAAATTTTTTTTTTGAAATAATCCGATTTAAGTGAATGATGAATTTTTAATTAAAATTATTTTTTAAACAAATAACCATATTTAATTAATTACTATGTATGTAATAATTATTGTAATATTTAAATTATTATTAAATAAAAAATTTTCTGTTTTTAAAACTAATATAATTATTTAATTTTGTTCAGAGCTATGTTTTATATACTAAGAACATTATTTATCAGTAGAGGAAGTGTCCATAAAAAAATGTGCTCTCACGAATAACAAAGTAGATAATTTATTATTACAGTCTTTGGAGAATATCACCAGTTTGAAAATTTATTTTTAACAATTAACAACAATTAATTTTAATTAACTTTTTAGAAACAACAAATTGAAAAAAATTAGGAAATTACTATGAGAGAACTAATAATATAAATTTCCAAAAGAATTAATAAATAAAACTCAAATGAAGACATTATATAATTCTATGTATAGTATTTTTTTCTATATTTATAAAGAAATTTTTTCTTTATTTAAATTTTTAAGTAATATGTTGAATTGTGAAAAGCACATAAAATCATTTTATAATTTTAACATATTTTTTTAACAAAATACTACTATTTCAGGATCTTTATATTGAATATGTACATGTAAATTAGTAAATTATCTTATCTAATCGTATCTTAAATAAATGAATTAATAATTGACCCCACAAATAGAATAATTAATTTTAAATGTATGAAACTGCTTATACGTAACTAATAATAAATATAAATGTTTTTTATTGTATTTAAATTTAAATATAATTTTAATATTTAGAGAATTTTTTCTGCTGTATGGGTATTCTTGAACTATACATTTTTTGTAGAAAAATATTTCAACTTTACTTGAAGTATAAATAAAGGTAAAAAATGTACCCTTTTAAAAAGAACAAAATTTTATTTTTAATTTCCTTTTTTATGGTTAAAAATTTTTTTCTTTAAATGTTTATACCATTGAAAAGTATGTAAAAAACTTGGAAAATTCATGTTCTTTAAAAATTATGTGTTTTGTTTTATTTTAAAGAAACTACAGGCTACAACATAATTTTTACTCCCTTCTGATCCTACATTTTTTTAAGTAAATTAATAATCTTTCGTATTTGTAGTTGTATCAAAAAGGACAAAATTTTATGTAAACTTTTAACTAGCTTTAACCAGATATATGTAGAATTTGAATCATTTTTTACTTAAAAATTTTAATTTAAAAAAATGTTAATTGGTATTTATAAAACATTAAAATAACAGTAAAATCTCCACAAATTTACAATTTTGAATTAGGCGCGATTCATTAAAAATAAAAAATGACCAACAACAACAGTTACAGCTCAAAGAATTAATTGAACTGACCTTTACGAATAATAAACACTGTCAATAGAAAATAATTATTTGAAGAGATAAAACTTCGTACTACTTTTGCATTTAAATGATACATTTTAGAAAATATAAAAATATAGGGTAACTATCTTGACGTGGCAAACTCTTTCACGAGAAATATTAATGCAAAATTACCTTCTCAATTGACAATATAGTGATAAAAATTGACGTCTGGAGAAATACTGATCAGTTAATTTTTGATAAAAATAACCAATTAACGAAAAATGTAACAAGAACCTTTCACTGTTGACACTTGTTAAATAAATAACTGTGAAATACCTGCGTGTCAAACGAAAGCTTGATTCCAAGTCAATATTGTATTTATCTTTGGCTTTGACGTTGCAGCTTACATTCGCCTTTTATCAACCATCTTGTATATTTCCCCTCGTTTCAGATTGGCTGCACTACCATTTCCTATAATATTTGCTTTTTAAGGTAACCTCCAATTGGCTGAAATGTTTCCTTCCTCGCAAAAATTTACCAATTAAAGTAATCTGTTATAAAGGAATGTAAATTGTTTTCGATTGAAACATACTCTTCACTGGACAGACGCAGACGATTTAGTTCTAGATTTGAAACTACGCGAATGTTATTCGACCACGTGTAACATTTAAATTTCTCTACGCAAGATATACGTATATGGGAAAATCTCTGGAACTTTTAACTATTATGTCCCTCGCGTATATTTTGTTAATTCCAATGAAATTTTACCTGGTTTTTGTTGGAAAAATCAATACTTGATACGAGCAATCATTTCCAACAGGTTTCACATTAATTTATTAAATAAATAAATAATTATTTAATTTTCAATGCACGATTTTCAACAATTTCTACTTGTCCCTAACCATACTTTGTGGTGCTTTAAACGATAAAACTTTATTATTAAAAAAAATTACCAGTTCTAAGATACGTCATTTTAAAGTTAATTAAACGATGAACACATTTTCGCAAGAAAATTAACATTTTGTAAATTGTAAAAAAAGTTATAAGCTTTTAAAAGTTGTCCCTCACTTTTAACCTTTTTGACTGCAATCTTCTTATTTAGCATTTTTCTTTGATAAGACAATTAGCACACCAAAATAACTTATGAGAAATTAAAGTTCAAGTCATTAGAATTATTTTGAGACATATTAAATTGATGTGCCTCGTGTCTTAAAAAAATTATTGTAATTTTAATAACAGAAAACACGTGTGTACAAAATGAGAATTTTATTTTAAATAAATGTTGAAATTATTAACCAAATTTTATCATTTTTAAAAAATTGTAACTTCACAGTAATTTCCTTTCCATTGTTTTTCATTCCAAAATCAACCACCTGTTGAATACTTTTCTGTTTTAGGTTAACAATAATTTGCAATTTTAAATAATTAATAACTTTTTTAAGACAAAAAATTTTATCTGTCCACTTCACAGTGGGGCAGAATGTTAAAAAAGTTGGCATTAAATGTATTTTTCATTGAAAAGTATTGATATTAAAGATTTTAAAGTTTTTTGGGTCGCTGATTACGAATATGAAGTCAGTTTTTAAAAATTCAAAATAGCGGATCCAATATGGCGGACAATTTTTAAAAAAATTAGTTTGATTTCTATAAAATTTGGTATCTAGGGGTTTTTGGGGTCGCTGATTGCGAATCTAACGTCAGATTTTTAAAATTCAAAATGGCGGATCCAATATGGCGGACAATTTTTTCAAAATTGTTCGATTTTTATAAAATTTGGTATCTAAGGGTTTTCGAGGTCGCTGATTACGAATCTAAAGTCGGATTTTTAAAATTCAAAATGGCGGATCCAACATGGCGGATATGTTTTTTAAATTTCAACGAAATCGTTTGAAACTAGATATTCGTGTGTTTTTGGGGTTGATGATTACGAATATGAAGTCAATTTTTTAAAACTACGAAATAGCAGATTCAAAATGGCAGATATTAAAAAATTAAATCTCTCATCGAATTTACTGCTATTTGAACGGTTCATTATTTCAACGAGTTCTTTTTTCTTTAAGCATGAAGCGTGCTTGAAGTCGTTCCTAATATAAAAATTACAATAATTTATTTTTAATTTCTACACTAATTACAAATATTTACTTAAATTAAAAATACTTATGCGACGAAGAAATTCAAAAATTGTAAGAATATTTATTTATCCCATTTTATAAATTTCAATTATAAACTTTTAAATATAAAATTAATAATATAAAACATTTTAAAATCAAAATCTTATTAAGTTTAATTTTTAAAGGTTAACAAATTTTCTTAAAACAAAGTATACACTCATTATTGAAAATACATATTTCTGTATTTTGCAATGTGTCCAATAAAATCACTTTTTCTCGAAAAATCGCAAATATTCGCAAAAATTTCAAGCAGATTCAGAAACCTGGAATCAAAACATAATAAAAAATTCAAGAATTAATGCTTGGACTAGCTTGGAACATATCTAAAATGATTAATGTTTACAGAAAATTTTTCAATTTTTGAATTTCAGAAGCTCGTTTCTTTTAAGAATTTTAATAATTAAAATATTATAAAATACGATTTTATCTTTTCTATAATATAATTAAATACCTGAATTTGAAGATTCCATGATAAATAATTCAAAATCTGTCACATTGTACGTTTTAATCAGGTTACAAACCTTACCTTGATAAATAAACAAAAAAGCGCGAACATAACTGTTGAAAATAGGTCGACATTAAAACATATTTCTATGAAAATCCGCAGTTAAAAAGGGCTAAAAATTATATTTCATCAAACTTTGACTTATTGTTTATTGAAATAATGTAATTAAAAGTTGGAATTGAATTTTTCAATTTTTCATTTTTTGCCAACTTTTTATGCATTCTGCCCCACTGTGCACTTATATAATTTGAAATCTTCGTACTTGAAGTTTATGTTGACAGAGTTTCAATACTGTGCTCGAAAAAAAGAATTTTTTTTTTCCTTTATTGAAAAGTTAAAAGTTCCAGAGATATGCCCATATATGGGCATATCTCTAGAACTTGTAAACTTTGAGATATTACAAATATTAATTTTTTTTCAGGGCACATTCGTGAAACAAATTTTATTGTCTTTAGTATTGATCAAATACTATAAAAAAATTTGCGTAACTCATTTTTACACATTGTTACGCAGCACAGTGGGCCTTATTTCAAAAAAACCTGCCCAAAATTTCTAGATGTGTTTAAAACTGACTGAAATTTGTTACTCGCGGATTTTTTTGGTCGCTGATTACAAATCCGACGTTAGTTTTTCAAAATTCAAAATGGCGGACGACTTTTAAAAAAATTGATCGAATTTGTCTGAAATTTGTTACTCGTAGGTTTTTTGGGTCGCTGATTACGAATCTGAACTTAGTTTTTCAAAATTCAAAATGGCCGATCCAATATGGCGGACAACTTTTAAAAAAATTGATCCAATTGGCCTGAAATTTGTTACTTAGGGGTTTTCGTAGCTTAAGTTTTGTAACCATGTACATAAAATTTAAATTTTCATTACTAATATTTAAAATGGTGTATCAAATATGTCAGAAAGATATTTTCAATTATTCAATTTTTATAAAAATTTATGCCTAAGGTTTTCTGAGGTCACTGATTATGAAACTGAACTTATTTTAAAACCCAAATATATTATTATAATATAAACTAACACTACTTTATGTTACGTTTAAAATGATTTAATGCTACAGTTTCGAAAATTTTATGTCCTATGGCTTATTAAGTCATAAGTAAATGTAGTTTATAACAATTTTTGATTTTTTTAAAAAATTTTTCAAAAATTTGGTTTGCAATTTTGGATCCACCATTTTGAATTTTGAAAAATTAAGTTCAGATTCGTAATCAGCGACCCCATGAACCCCCGAGTAACAAATTTTAGGCCAATGGGATCAATTTTGTAAATAGTCATCCGCCATTATGAATTTTGTAAAACTAAGTTCAGATTCATAATCAGCGACCCCAAAAACCCCCGAGTAACAAATTTTAGGCCAATTGGATCAATTTTTTTAAAAGTCATCCGCCATATTGGATCCGCCATTTTGAATTTTGAAAAACAAAGTTCAGATTCATAATCAGCGACCCCAAAAACCCCCAAGTAACAAATTTGAGGCCAATGGGATCACTTTTTTAAAAAGTCGTCCGCCATATTGGATTTGCCATTTTGAATTTTGGAAAATTTTAAATTCAGATTAGTAGTCGCAGCGACCCCAAAAACCTTCGAGTGAGAAATATTAGCCAGATTTAAACACATATATTAGTTAATACTTACTTTTCTTCACAAACTATGCGTCGCGTCGGACAGTTTAGGTTTATATTAATTATTAATTATACAGTTTTAATGAAGTGTGCAAAGGTTAACGATTTTTCTGTATACTTTTATAATGCATGAGAAGAGATAACAATGAGTTGGGAGCATTTAGCAGCAAAATTCAACATGTGCTTTTCAAATATGTGGTTTTTTGATATGAGTTACGTTTTAAAATTTAATGTTTGAAGTCATTGCATTCTTTGTGTAAAGAAGGCACACATTCCTGTATGGGTTCAAATTACTTCTTATTAGGTAGATAATATAATCCCGTTGTACCGTTACTCAAAAACCTTCGTTAAAAAAGTTATATCAGTTTAACTGCTAACTTGTAGAAATTTTGAAAAAGTTGTCTCGCAAGTGTGAAGCTACATAGTTTTTATTCAATTTGAGGCACATCATTGTTTCATGGATTTTTTAGTTCTTTACACTCCCACCTACTTCTATTGCAAGCCACAAGACACACAATTTTTCGTTAAAAAAGTTACAGTCTATAAACTAAAAAAAACAGTCAATATCACACACTAGAAACTGTCGATTTCACCACTATAACTTACGTTCGTCATTTCCTACATAATTAAAAAAATTATATAACACATGATACATTTAAAAAGCCCTATAATTGGTCAAATTATGGTAATGAAAAATTATTAAAAAAATTCTTAAGGTATCATAATGAGCGATAACATAAAGTTTAAAAGTTCTAGAGATATGCCCATATATTTTGTTAAAATAACGAGACTTTTTAACTTGGCGGCTCGAAATACCTTTACATGTTAGTTTAATGATTATATTATTTTGCATCTCACAATAATTTATATAACAATATTGTATATGGTATTATATTCTCTTTTCATATGATGAAATTGGAGGTCCATCTGCAATTGCATCTCCGATTTTTTTGAAACTTTTTTTTCTTTTATTACTAACTGAGACTACTTTCATGATTTTTTTCAAATTTTTTAGCAAGCCGTTTCTGAGATATGAATTTTTCAGAATTTCAATGACTTTATTTTTGAATAATTCCTTAAAAATACATCAAACTTTAATGTTTTTTTCAAAACGTGTGTTTTTAAACGTACCTACTACTTCA